ACTCCTAAGCTTTTTGTGCCTCCTGCCCACGTTCCTCCTTGATCAGTGAGGAACATCGATACTGCCTCTGCTGGTTGGGAGAAGTCTACATTTCAGCCAGCTGCAGTATCTTCTAGGCCTCCCCCACTGTACCTGAGAAGGCTGCGGTCTCAACCTCCAGAAGCACCTAATGGAAGTCACTATAAGATTTAATTCGGACCCTAGTTGGGCAACCCTACTGTGCATCAGTTTGAGGCTGCGAGGAGAGCACCTTAAATCAGGGGTTCTCAAACTTTGTGATACCGCAACCCCCCTCTAAGTTGCTCACAACTCCCCAGGGGGTCGGGACCCACAGTTTGAGAAACGTGGCCTTAAACTACGGGATTGAATGTCAACACCAATTGTACCATCACTATGGACCCTGCGCAAGGGTCTAGTCAGGAAGTAAGGAAGCATGCACATAGCATGGCAGTAAGTCTTCCTCCTTCCATGAGTTCCAGTCATAGGAATGGAACATACCCTAAAGCTCACAAGCATAAATGAAGCTGAATAAATTGACAGCTCCACTATGGACCCTCAAACACAGTCAACATTGATGTCCTTCAGAGCTAGGGTTTCATCGGTTCCTGGGAAGACCATTGATCCTGTTCTGGTTATGGGGACTGAAAAAATGTCCTTGTCTCCGGAGAGGTTGGAAAAGGAGTTTGCCCTGGGAGATCCAAGGTTCTCATGCCTTCTGGAGTTTCTACTTCTAGGTAGACTTTATCTACGGTACAAGATGTGCCTTAGTGGCCATCATCCCACCATTAGAATAAATCATGAGGAAAATGTCCCACTAGTTATTATAAACAGGTCAAATAGAACCACTTCACACTCCGGGCCCAATAGAAGGACTTTCCCCAGAAGAAGTGGAGATTCCCCTTCTTTGGGATTTCCTCTTGTCTTGAAGGCATTGGGTCTCACCCTCAATTTTAAAGTCCACCTAGCAGATATTAGCGCCTTCCATCCCAGCATGGAAGGACACTGTATTTACACATCTGTCGATCACTTTGTTTTGAAAAGGCCTCATTAGACTCTTCCCTCCGATACAAACTTTTATGTCCCCCATCCCAAATGGGATCTTAACCTAGTTCTATGAGCCACTGGCTTCATATTCTATGTTCCTCCTTTCCATGAAAGATACCTTCTTTGTGGCTGTCACTTTGGTGAGAAGAGTAGGTGGACTTGGGTCCATGATGGCAGACCCTCCTTTCACTACTTTCCATAAGGATAAAGTCTCTCAGTGCCTCCTTTCCAAGTTTCCGACAAAAGTTATATCATAGTTTCATTTGATGCAATTCATCTACTTACCTGCTTTCTTTCCAAAGCCTGGCACCTTAGAAGAGGAACAATCATTGAATGATGATTACCTGTTTGGTTCGTTCCATTTGGGGCACCTGGGATTGGACACTGTCAGAAGACAGAAAACTGGGCTAGGTGAACATCTGACCCAGTATTGCCATACTAATGTTAAGCATGTTGGAACTCCTCGGTCCAGCAACCCCGGGAACTAAGCAGTCCCGAACCAAGGAATTTACCGGACCTAGGGAGATCAGTGCTCTGCTACTGGCTGCCAGATCCTGCTCCTGGGTTCCCTTCTGGGCTGTTGGCCCCACTCACAGCTGCCATCTCTAGCCACTGGGCCCCTGATGGGGCTCCCATCTGCTAAACTCTTTGCCAACCAGCCCTGTCTTCCATCCACTGACCCACCTGGCAGTGGCATCTGGCCCTGGCTGAGGCTTCCGGCCACCAACCCCTGCTAGCCGGCTATGCTATAGCTTCCGGCCTCTTGCCGCTGGCCGTGCTACAGATTTTGGCCCTAACTGGGACTCCTGGCTGCTGACCTATGTGAATTTCCTGGGCAGAACTTCTGCCAGCCAGCCCAGACACCAGCCCGACTGCAGTTTCCGGCCCCACCCAGATTTCCTGGCCACCAGACTCCAGGCTGGCCTCTGCTCTGAGCCGTCAGGGGTCTCTGTTGCTGATGTTGCTGGACCAGAGAGTCCCAGATTTCAGAGGTTTAACTTGTATTCTTACGATGACTTCAATTTCTCGACATCTGTTGGGACTTTGCTTTCTAGGTGCAGAAAACAAGAACAATCAGGAAAACTTCTAAATTGTTTATTACAATATCCGAGAGGATTAAGTGGAAGGCAGTCTCTACACAGAGAATCTCTAAGTGGATTTTGGGGTGAATTACATGCTATGAGTTGTTGGGACTGCCTCCACCCCTGGGATGAGGGCTTACTCCACAAGAGCCCAGGCTTTGACCTCTGCTACCCTCCATGTGTGGTCCAGATCTGTATTGTATTTCCTGCCCTCTTTCACCTCTGCTGCAGATTTCTTTAATTCATGGTGGAGAATGAACTGATTATGTGAGCTTGGATTATCCCAACCGACCCTTTATTACCTCAGACAAAAACAGGAGGCAAGTCCAGGGCACATGTGTAGAACAACAGACACTACTACTTTAAAAATCTCTGGCTCCACATGCATGGTGTGCATGCACGTACCCTCAGTGGAATATATATAGGGACCACATGTCTCAAAGAACCTCTAGTTACAGGTAGATAACATCCTCATCCCCCACCTAAGTATAGAGAATGTCTCAACTATCAAAGTGCAAATAAATGCTACAGTGCAGTAAGCATCCACTTATTAGTGGAATCATTGTAGATGAAGGAGGTTTTAATTTGAAGAATATTCGGTCATTTGCTATTTGTTTAGCACACAGCATGTGGCTCGTGTTATTTTACAAATTCCTATTTTTAAATTGTTTTTAACAAATCATTGGAAACTGAAAATTAAATTCCCAGCCCCAAAGTGTTCTGCATCCTCTATTTGTCCATGCTGTATAGAGTAGGGTCATTCTGGCATATAAACATTTTCTTTTAATTTTGAAAAACAGTAATTTAAGAACTACTTGGAAAGTAGTATATATGTAAATAATTACATGGGTTTGTTAACAGATACTATAGAAAGGATTTTTTTTAATAAAAATTTGGACCTTTCCAAACTTGACAGTTTCCATTTAAGTAAGTCTTTATCAGGGATTCTATCGAGACGAGGTAGAATATAACAAAGATCATTCCAGGTAAGACGTTATATGACTTTTACGTGTTACTGAAGTTGTGCTCCCACTTCATTTGCTCCTTCTTCCCTCTTGCTGTTTCTTGTGTTACCTTGCCATAGCTAACTGGATGTGCAACCCCTCTTTTCCTGTATCTTACTTAATTAGACCCTGACCCAACAAACATTTATACATGTGGATACTCCCACTGGCTTCAGTGATAATTGCATACAGGTTCATCTTGCAGTTTTCTATAAGGTTTCAGCAGCTTTCCGCTGTGTACCTTAGGGTAACCAAAAGTCCCAAATTTATACAGCCAGTACCAATATTCTGGTGTCTTATGCAGGTGCCTGTTACCCCGATTATTCACACTTGCTATCTGTCTGGACATTCTAGTGTGGTGTTTCTGAAAGTGTACCGTGGAAACACTTTAACTGGCCACCCTGGTTTGTTTATGTACCGGTACCGTGGCCACGTTGCCTCGGGGCTCCCATTGGCTCCGTTTAGTCCTTTGCAGCCAAGAGAGCTCTGGGAAGTGACATAGGCTGGGCCACCACTTCCTGCAGCTCCCCTTGGCCTTAAAGGACGAAACGGAGCCAATGGGAGCCACGAGGTTCCGTGGCCACGGTGCCAGTACATAAACAAACCAGGGTGGCCAGTAAAAGTGTTTCTGAAAGTGCTTCCGCAGTACACTTTCAGAAACACTGTTCTAGTGTACATCTAAACTCTGATTTTCTAAATCACTCTCAAAATCTCATTCAAAATTCGTTTTGAGATGGGAATTGCCATGTGGTGCATATTTGCATGGTACCTAGTTCCAATGAAACAATGATCCTCTTTCTGGACAAATGACAAACTGGTGGAATATTAAGTAAATACACAACATGCTTTTCGAGTGGCAAGACTGCCAGACCATTTGAGACTGGATTAACACACAAAAGAACCTCTCCCAAATTCTGGGTCTACCAAAAATATACAAACTTACTAACTTCTCCAGCTGGATTCATTCCATGAAGCTTTACAAGCCCTAAACTCCAAAATACAAAATAGTTACTTTTGGTAGAGTGGATCCTACATTTTATTCACATTCCTTCTCTTTCTTTCTATGGAAGCAACCATAGAGTGCTGAGCTTAAATTAATTCATCTATATCTAGAAATAATTCTCTGAGCTGATGCTGAACTCTGCCATTGGGGAACTGATACTGATTGGGATCCACAAGTGCTACTACAGCAGAAATAGTAAATAGTGAAAACCTTCATAAAATTCGGGTATCAGTTTTCCCAAAATGTTTGCAAAATTGGTGTTTATCTGATGGCCCGGGCTATGTCTTTTTACCTTTTCATCCAAATTCAATTACAAGATGTATCATTATGGTAAAAAGGTAAAATGGTAAAAACTTAAAATATTATCAGAAGAGCTAGTTCTCATGTATGTTTTTGCATAGGTTATTTGTTCTTGATTTGTGTATAATGGAATCCTTCTCATATGATGACAGAGATCACCTAGGCATAGCTCTTTGCCTCTCTGAGTGGAAGGGGAAAGTAATTGTGACATATTGCCTAATATCAAACAAATCTGTCACCCCAAAATTCACTGTCACTACAGGCAAAATGGTTAAGGTAACATAAGGAATCTATCCAGTGTGTATTTTTTTCTTGTGTTGAGCTGTACAGTTTTTTGTTTTAAATTGCAACATCCATTGAGGTTTACTGGCCTCTGCTGGCCATTTTGTGGCAACAGTTTTAATTAATCCCCTAATTTTGTGGAAAAGTCTCCTCCATATTGCTTGTAAAGTGTTTTCATTTCAGCAGCTGTAATCATCTCCTTTCTTTATTGTTGTAAAAATGCAGCTATATCTAATGGACTAAGAACACTGTACATTAACAATTTTTTTTATCATATTCTGTCAGAAGCCCTGAGATGCTACAGTCTGAAGGGTCATACTCTATGGGAGGGAGACATTCTTCCACGGACTCCAACAAAGCCTCAAGTGGAGATGTCTCCCCTTATGACAACAACTCGCCAGTACTGTCTGAAAGGTCACTGATGGCAATGCAAGAAGATATTGCCCTCAGTTCAGATAAGCTGTACAAGGTACCTGAACAGTACATGTTGGTTGGCCATTTGCAATCTAAATCAAGAGAAAATTCGCCTGGATCATGGGCTGGGAAAGGTAATTATTTTTTTCACATGCTGTTTGTAAGGATATGGTGTGTTGTGTTGATTGTTTCCTCGTCGTCTTCAGACCTATTTACCCAATGTGATTTCTCTTGCTGTACTCAACCTGTGTTTTAAAAAATGGGTCCATATAGATTCTTTTGAATCCCTCCCCTTTACATAATGGCAGGTTTTCTATTTGTTGGTCTCAAAGCATTATGCTAACCTTCTATTTTTAGATGTATGAGAGCATGGCACTTATGCAGCTAAAATGGTGAAGAGCGCTGTGCTTTAAGATTAATATATTGGAGCAACAGAGTGCTTTCGTAATGAACAACTGACATCTTCCCTTCTGTGTTGGGCCATAAGGCTCTGCTCCTCAACCCATGCTTGTGAACTCTGCTTGCTGTCCCCACACCATTATGCTGCATTTGTGCATTATTGTGCAGCATTTCCCGAGCTTTTGAAAGTTGAAGCCAGTATTTAGGAAATTAAAACCCATCACACATTGTTCTTCCATCTTTCCATACTAGCAGAACAACATGGGGGCACCTTGGACTGCCACTATCCTGCAATGCAAGCCTTGTCCTACTGCTTATCTCTGTAATCAGCTAATGCCCTCAGCGGTATTGAAGGGACCCTTTCAAGTTATAAACTCCAGTTGATTGATTATCTCTGTGAAGGACTACCGTTCATCCTGAAGTAGTGATAGGCTACCACGACTCCAAAAGATTCTTGACATCAGAATTGCAGGGTACTTGATGAGTAAATTGAGGATAGATAGTGATAGACAGCATTATTTTCAAAGGACTTCAGATGCCTAAAAATGCAGATAGTTGACCAGATGGATTTTCAAAGCACCTGAACAGGTTAGGTGCCTAGCTCCCATTGAAATCAATGGGCATTTGATAGCCCTAACTCATTTAGACATTTTTTAAAAATCCCAGTAGACCTCTGTCTGCATCTTTAGGCATTCACATATGCCATATCTTTCAACTCTGCTCTTGCTCATGTTTCCAATAAGGCTTAAACTGGGAAATGATATGCTGACTTGTCATATCAACCATATTCTAGAGATTTGTATGCACAGTAATGATATTCCAACTATCCATTCCATCTGAAGACTTTCCTATTGAATGAATTCAGAAAAAGGCACAAAATCATTATCTATTAATACACCTTCACAGTGCACACTTTATGTGTCCATCACTAATTACACTGATCTACAATTTTTAGAAGTCGTCTGCTTCAGAGATCAAATGTGCTATTTATTATGTATTTTGATGTGCTGAATTCAAATATGACAATTAAAACAACTGATTGGCTACTGTTTCCAAGATATTTAAGTTTTTACATTTTACGTCTATGTATATTGTGTAGATAGTAGAGTTTTAATCATAAATTGTAAACCTAGGTCTTTTCATGTGTTTATGGTTGCTTTATTTCATGTGTTTATGGTTGCATGATATTTCACCCGTCCTGTTTATGTAACACTTTAAAAATCAGCAAAAGGGTTATATAAATAAAATTTATTATGAAACAAAAGGCAAAAAAACTATTATGTACATAGTTTAGTCCTATTCAGTGTCTACTCGGCGCTTCTTGGCTTGTCTCTTGTATTCATTAAATGGAGCATCTCTTGTCACTGTCCAGCAATAGTCTGCAAGCATTGATGGGCTCCATTTGCCCTGATAGCGTTTCTCCATTGTTGCAATGTCCTGGTGAAATCGCTCGCCGTGCTCGTTGCTCACTGCTCCGCAGCTCGGTGGAAAAAAATCTAGATGAGAATGCAAAAAATGTATCTTTAGTGACATGTTGCAACCAAGGCTTTTGCATGCCTTGAGGAGGTTTTCCACCAACAACCTGTAGTTGTCTGCCTTGTTGTTTCCGAGAAAATTTATTGCCACTAACTGGAAGGCTTTCCATGCTGTCTTTTCCTTGCCACGCAGTGCGTTGTCAAATGCATCATCTCGAAGAAGTTCACTAATCTGAGGACCAACAAAGACACCTTCCTTTATCTTAGCTTCACTTAACCTTGGAGATTTTCCATGGAGGTACTTGAAAGCTGCTTGTGTTTTGTCCATGGCCTTGACAAAGTTCTTCATCAGACCCAGCTTGATGTGTAAGGGTGGTAACAAAATCTTCCTTGATTCAACAAGTGGTGGATACTGAACACTTTTCCTCCCAGGCTCCAGTATCCAGTCTGCAGACCAAGCAAGTGTTGTAGCATATGTGTGGGGCCCACCTCTTGTCCTGATCTCCAATTTTGCAGCCAAAATAAAGGTGATAGGCTTTCTTAACCATAGTGGTTATACTGTGCTTTTGTGATGCAAAAGTCACTTCACCACAAACATAGCAGAAGTTATCTGCACTGTTCACACAAGTACGAGGCATCTCTGCTCACTTTGGCTAAATAGAAATGTGTCCCTTTGCAAAATCAAACACTGACAAATAAGCGAGCACGACACTGTATGATTTCTAGAGCTGATATAGGGCAATTCGTTCAGCAGAGTGATATAAGCTTCGTTATGATTGCATCATCCAAGACTTCTAGGAATAACATGATGCAATTCATATCATGTATGACGCAATACCAGCTTCAGATTGCATCATTCATTGTTTTGCCTAAAAAGCAAGTACTGTCCAAACCCAGTCATAGATTTATTCATAGATCCAGTCAAAGATGTATTTTAGTCATTTCTGGTTTAAATTGAGATCCCTTCCCTTTATAACTCACTTATCCTCTGCCATTCGCAAGTCAAGGGTCGTATATACTGACCCAATAGCATATCTTGAAAACTTGAAATCAATAATTTTAAGCATCATTTTCGTTCTCAGTGACCCAGAATTAGTAAAGTTTGACTAAATTTATTTCAGAAGCATTTTGGCTGTAGAGCAGTGTTATTATTTGTATTTCTGTCTCTCCAAGGTTCTATCTCCTCTCCCACCTTCTTCCCAATAACACAACATGTTCTTTCCTGTTTATTGCTCTCTCCAAGTTGTGGCTGCTGAGAGGGCTTTGTCACACTTTCCATTTCAGAAGCATATAAGTTTACTTTTTTGTGGTCAAATCTTGCTTTTCTTATTGAGTCAAGTTTTTCCATTGAGTTCAGGAGGTCAATACACTTAAGGAAGGCCCCAGTCCTACAAAGGGCTCCATATCAGCTCATGAATCTTCTCCATATGGAGCTCATTGCAAAATTTGAGCCTAATGATTAAGAACAAGATTTGTCTCTTCATCTCTGGTGTACAGGAAATCCAGCTATCAGTATGTTTGCTCAGCTCTTTCATCTTTTGCTGCTCGACAAAGTTCTACCTTTAATTTATGTATTGTTCTAGTCTTGTGTTTCTGTTCTGTGTTTATGGGATCATTTCATGTTCTTTTACTTCTTCTGTAGATGTTCCAGAGGATCATTTCAATATCTGGGGCACCTGGCATTCAACACTGAAATGTGGCTCCAAAGATCCAGGAATGACAGGTATGATAGTTCGTTGATAATTTTTATTCCCCAGTATAACAAGGGCTTAAGCATGTACATATGCACTATGAACTAAAGCCAGTGAAACTCCTCATGGTGCATAAAATTAAACATATGCATGCATAAGATCAGGGGCCTTCATTTGTTTGCTTTTAAATGATTCATCCTAAAAATATCTGTAGAGCTTTTTTCCTCTGATTCTCTATTTTTTTTTAACTTTGCTATTTTGCAAAATATAGGTAAAGAGAGACACAACAACTACACAAATATGGCAACATTTGAAAATGAGTCACAAGATACAGTAATAGAAAATAATCTCCTATGAAGCAGAACAACAGTATTGAGAGATTATGCTGTGGACTTAAACACAGTCCTTGGAAGTGGGAGGCCTGAATTCAAATGCTGACTAATTACCTGTATGCCTGGGGCAAATCACTTAACTCCCTGTCCTCAGATTTTCTTCCATCTGTACCTGCTTACTTCACAGGAGAATATTAATGTTTTTTAAAGCACTTTGAAATTATCAGGCATTATGTTAGTGCTAAACATGAAAGGGACCAGCTTTTTTTATACATGGATACAGTTCAGATAGTACAGACCCAACACTGGCCTTGCCAGTATAATGCAGCAAGTCATTGATCACATAAAATGTGAGTGTTTCATATTGATATTCTGTCTAATTCTGTTTCTCAGGTTCATATGGAAACCTTTATGAAAGCAGCTCGTTACGACCAGGAAGGTGCTCTCTTTCCCAAGGGAACCTATCGTTGAATTGGCCTCGGTGGCAGGGTAGTTCTACAGAATTGGACAACGAAAAGCAAATAATCCGAAGGAGTCAGACTACTGCTGCCATTCCTGAATGTAGGCCTCACACCCCCGTGTCTCGGGTTTGCAGCAGTCCGCAAACAGAAGGTGGAAGGAGGAGTTCAGACCAGTCCAATTTAAGGTCTGAGCGGCATTTGACTTTAAGTAGCACAGAGGACCTTACAGAGCATGACTCAAAAGTGGGTTGCTTGTCAAGAACAGCTATACCTTTGTACCTGAGGCAAGAAGACATAAATAGAAAAGAGAGGCCACCACCTCCTTACCCTGGCCCCAAAAAACAAAGTTCTGCATTGTCCCAGCGACCGACTGTCTCTTCAACAGCGCATCCTTTGTGGAGACTTCAAAAGCCAGAAAAACATTCAGGGGCCATAGCAGCAGAAGGACCAGCAGCTGAATCAACTGACCAATCCATCTCCAGTCAGCCATGGCAAGCTTCTCAGAACAAAATAGGTAACATCTATTCCACTCCAGCCAATAATCAGAACAATAAAAATGTATCCGAGCCAGACTGTCATGATTGCCAAAGACCGCGGTGCCCAATTTGGGAGCTTTTATCAGCTGATAACTCAGATGCCTTCCCTGAAACGCTTGTATGATCAGACTCTTATAGAGAACTGCCATCCAAACCTATGCTTCTCTTAGATAGGAAACGAATAGTGACATTGGAAAACTTCTTGTTTTATACCAAGTAAATTTATTTTAATTTCTTAATTTTGTTCACTTTAAATCTTTCATAGCTCTATTAAGCAGTCCATTTACAATACCGTATGTTCTTGTTTCGTAACAAGCTTTTAAGAGAGAAAAATGTTAGCCTAACAACTGTGGTTTCATAAACTGTGTGTAAGACAAAACTATTGCTTTGGTGTTGCTAATGTGTATTTATATGTCTGCAGTTCTGATGATTGTTTAGTCTGGGTTATGTATGATAATCATATATTGTGTGTTCCTATTCAAGTGACAATCAATCAGGACTGCCTTTTTTAAAATCACTGCACTTACATTACCAATAATATGTGTTGGAATTCTATAGAAAGTGCACAAGCTGGTTTCTGTGCTGTTATACAACTTGTTAATGAGAGAAACTGTCCTTCTGGTCAATGCCTATAAAAAACACTAAAATAGAATAAAACATGAAAAGCCATATATTTTATAATGGTAGTAGTAGGCTAGAATGGAAATTATTTACCAAATATTTTTTCTTACGAATATGTTTGTAAACAAAATTAAAATTTGATACAATGTTATAAAAATATTTTTTTAGATTCTGTTAGGTAGCAGTTCAGCTAATCAGTCAAGGGTAAGGTTGTGTCTAAACCAAACTAACAGCCTTACTACAAAAGTTTACCCTCCCCTTCTAGATCAATTACAAACTTATATATACAGCATATAATATATAATATATATTTATAGGTGTATAATTTTATATATTGTTTTAAAGCAATGAACTGGAAACCAAATTTTTTAAAAAAATCTATATATATGTCACATAATAGAAAGAAATATGGCTTTTCCTTTTAAACAACAAACAAAGCAATCAAAATGACAAGCATTTATATGTCACATGCAGTGTTTTAGAAATGAATACGACATTTGGAGAAGTTCACAGCTTTTTGTATAAATGTTGTGCCAAAATTTGGGGAAATGGGGTTTTTTTTCAATAACTATGTTACATTGTTAAATGTTGCTGTTACACAAGTTTTGGTTTTATTAAACTGCAAACATGTTTATGACCAGCAGGTGGCAATGTATTCCAGTATTTTAAGAAGATTTTTTTTTTCACATAAGGGAAAATGTATCATATTAAAAATTTTATAAAACATGCTAGTCTTAATTGTAATGAAGTTGAAGACTCATTCAGTGGTGTTATCTTGAAATTCTGTCTTCTGTCGTAATGTTGGAATAAAAAACTAAGCAAAATCATTGCAGTATTTTTACTCCTTCATTGTAATTACTATATATTTTTGAGAGTTTGTGTATCTGTCTCTGTGTCGATCCATCTTCCTTAAAAAATTAGGTTTACTTGTTTTTTTTTCAGAAAAGAGGGTTTTCCCCGGAAAAAAAAAGTGTCCCGACTACTCCCATGAAATTTGCATCTCCTCTTTTGAAAAAAAATTAGTTTAGATGTACCCCTAGTGTACACATAGCACCGAAACACAAATGAGTGAGGAAGCCAATGTGTCTATAATATTCACTTCTGAGTCAATAGTTTGAGTCCAGCTTTAAGCCATAAGCTATTCAAAGTTATCATATGATGGCCGAGTTGGTGCTCTTTGGCAAAAGGGTTGACATTCTGTGATCACACCCATAAATTTCACATTTAGAAATTCATTACCTTTGTGGGCGGTCGGTATTGTAGGCAGGGGGAGGAACAGCCTTCCCAAAATTGCCTACATGCCCAACCGCCTAAGGCTGGGGCTGCAGTGCAGCAGCCTGGCTCCATCCAGCCTCTAGGGAAGGCAGCGCAGCTCAGCAGCCCAGCCACCTGGGAGCAATAAGTTGCAGATAGGCAGCCCAGCTCTACCTGGAAGAATACAGCTGCTGCGTAGCAGCCTGGCTTTCCCTGGCCGCCAAGGAGAGCCAGGCTGGGCAGCAGCACGACAGCCACAGCTCTCTACTGGTGTGTCTACACAGCAAAGTTATTCCAAAATAATTATGCGAGTGTCTACACACCAATTCCATTATTTCAAAATAATTTTGAAATAACGGATGGCTTGTTCTGACTTGTGTAAACCTCATTCTACAAAGAATAACACCTATTTCCAAATAGGGGCTGTGTAGATGCTCCACTTCTGCTATTTCAAAATAAGCTATTTTGGAATAACTATTCCGGAATAGCTTATTCTGAAATAACTGTGCAGTGTAGATGTAGTCTTTATGGCCTAGAAGGATCAGGTGGAAGGGGTGGGGCTGGGGCTTGCCCTCGCCAGCTGGCCTTTCACCTGATGCCCATCATTGTCTTCTCTTTTGTAAAGGGACATCCCCCCTGCTCAGGGTTAAGGCATATAAGTGGTGTGGGATTATCCCTGTACTGTTGATTCCAATAATTCCTAGTTCTTGATTTATTAGATTTCAAAGTGCCTGCCTTTATTCAGGTGCATACGCCCAATGAAATTCATAGGAATACCTATCAGAGTAGGGCCAGATTGAGCCCTTTATAGGCCCTACGCACTCTCATAATTGTAGGCCCCTAGATTAGACTATATAGAAATACATAAGGGAGAAATGCCCTATCACCTATACAGCTAATATCACCCATTTTAATTTTCTCTCTTGAAAATGGCACACTGTGTGAGAAATTCATGGTTCTTCATTCTAAAATAAAAGGTATTTTGTTGTATATTACAATTATACTTAGGATTCACCTGATAGCTAATTGGCTGATAAGGAGAAAAGCAAGGTGATATTGCTGCTACTATGACTGTAATATCCACAGAGCAATGCATAGTGCCGCACATCTGATAACTTGGTAACATTGTGTCTCGAGATCGTTCAACGTCATTTACGAAATAACAGAACATTGGTTGATGTTTCTGCCAGAAAAAGTTGTTATCAGTAGCCTAGGGTTTCTGAAACACAACTATGAAATGCAAACACTGTAATAATAAGCAGTGTTCCCTGTAACATTTTCTATAATTGGGCGGCCTGAATATTCTTATGTACCCCACTAGTACAAACAAAAATCTAGATATAAATATATATTTTAAACAGCTCGTAGGTATGGAAGGCAAATATTTTTAAACGGGATAATTAACAATGACCAATGTTTATGATGTTTATTAATACAGGTGTGTTAATAGAGAAGTCATTCTTCCGCTCTACTCTGCACTGGTTAGGCCTCAGTTGGAGTATTGTGTCCAGTTCTGGGCACCGCATTTCAAGAAAGATGTGGAGAAATTGGAGAGGGTCCAGAGAAGAGCAACAAAAATGATTAAAGGTCTAGAGAACATGATCTATGAGGGAAGGCTGAAAGAATTGGGTTTGTTTAGTTGAGAAAAGAGAAGACTGAGGGGGGACATGATAGCTGATTTCAGGTATCTAAAAGGATGTCATAAGGAGGAAGGAGAAAACTTGTTCATCTTGGCCTCTGAGGATAGAACAAGAAGCAATGGGCTTAAACTGCAACAAGGGAGGTTTAGGTTGGACATTAGGAAAATGTTCGTAACTGTCAGGGTAGTCAAACACTGGAATAAATTGCCCAGGGAGGTTGTGGAATCCCCATCTCTGGAGATATTTAAGAGTAGGTTAGATAAATGTCTATCAGTGATGGTCTAAACAGTATTTGGTCCTGCCATGAGGGCAGGGGACTGGACTCAATGACCTCTCGAAGTCCCTTCCAGTCCTAGTATTCTATGATTTAATGTCAAATAAAAAGAAAATGAACAGTACCCTGAGACTACATGTATTTTATCATCCTTTCTAACAACTCAAGCAGGTTAACAGATCAAAATGCATATTAGCCACATACAACTCAGCTTTAAGATGCTAAAGCAATCTGAGTCAATTGGAAACAGTCATGCTCTCCTTGCAAATATTAATACAATATTTAATTACACTGGAAAGGAGAGAAAAAGGCATGTACTTGGGCTTGTACAGTTTCTCTAGGATGTCAACTCTTAATTTCATTAATAGTGCACAAAGATAAAAAAGTAAAAATAAGTAGAAAAACAACACAGAAAGCAAATAAAGCCGCAAACGTGAAAATAGGAAGGGAAGTAAAATATCAGGTGGTTGGTGATGGGTATTTTAAATGAATGTTTAGGATCATTATGCAAGTGAAACAGAGAACTGCAAACATAAATAATGGTTATCCTTGTTTGAAACTTTCACATTGTATGTGTCACCAACTCAAAGAGTAGAAGCTCCAAGGCAGCACTTTATCACGTGGCTTCAGAGTTTATCGACAGATCCATTTTTTTAAAGAGCTTGAAAATACAGTTTTCATCCTACAATATACCTAGCTTCACACCTAGTAAGCCTATTGGCTCATAAGAGCCAGAACTATACCATGTAGAAAAGATCTGGCCTTAATATCCCTCCGCAAACCGATTCTAAAATGTAATGGAAATTCAACTCCAAGGGTACATCTAGACTACATGGCTCCGTCGACAGAGCCATGTAAAATAGTTAACTCAGCATAGTCAAAGAAGCGGGAATTTATGAACTAGCCTGAAATTCGTCAGACTTTGATAGGCATAGCTGAAAGTGATAGACAGCCACCTGCAGTTGTCCATGAGGCAAGGTCTCTGACTAAGAAGTTGGATCAGTTCAAGACAGCTCTGACATGGGTCATTTCGAATGATATGCTACAAAAGGCTAATCTTGCAAATAAAGCTCTACAGGAGCCTGGCATTGAGTTGTGCACTGTCATGAATTTAGATGATGGTCTTTAAGCACAGTTTCATGATACCCACGATACATTTCATGTGGTTGAGGCAACTGCAAAAGATCTCACACCATCTGACTACAATGAGACCACACAATGCAAACCACTGAGAAAGCAATTTTTTGATGAAATTTGTATGTATAATACTGTCTTGGATTTGACTGCCAGGGACAAATTTCACACACTGTGCTTCTTTTCTATCATGCATGAATTTATTGTTGAGATGGTCAGACAACAAGCAGCATATGCCACATTGAATGAAAGGTTCAGTTTTCTTGTGAATAGATTAATGTCCAGTGCTGAGGTCACCTCTGTGATGCATTAACAGGAGTGTTGTGAGCAAGACACAAGAAATCATTCTTCCACTCTTCTCTGCACTGATTAGGCCTCATTTAGAGTATTGTGTCCAGTTCTGGGCACACATTTCAAGAAAGATGTGGAGAAATTGGAGAACATCCAGAGAAGAGCAACAAAAATGATTAACGGTCTAGAGAACATGACCGATGAAGGAAGACTGAAAGAATTGGACATGTTTAGTTTGGAAAGGAGAAGACCGAGAGGAGACATGATAGTGGTTTTTAGATATCTAAAAGTGTGTCACAAGGAGGAGGGAGAAAAATTGTTCTCCTTATCCTCTGAGGATAGGACAAAAAGCAATGGGCTTAAACTGAGGCAAGGGAGGTTTAGGTTGGACATTAGGAAAAACTTCCTAACTGTCAGGGTGGTTAAACACTAGAATAAGTAGCCTAGGAAGGTTGTGGCATCTCCATCTCTGGAGATATTTAACAGCAGGATAGCTAGACAATTATCAGGAATGGTCTAGACCAGGGATACTCAACTTTATAAGCCCCAAGGCCCGCAATGATACTCGCAGCACATGCAGAGAGCTGCAACTTAAGTGTGGTTGCATATACATGCAAACATATGCAAATGTATGCAAATAGCTTCTTTCACACTGATGGGCATGAATATAAAGCACTTCCCACAATGCCCCAGCACTCTTGGCACCTTCTTCATCTGAGCTAGAAATCCCGACAGCCTGTACCCGTCTGTTCCATCCAGCCCATCCACTTGCATCTTTCAATGCTCACTCCGCCTGGGAGATGTCTCACCATTGTGGAACATGTTCCAAGTGGAGCCCGTGTTCAAAGGATCCCACCCGCTGGCTGTGTGTTGAGCCCCGTGTAAACCTAAACCACACTGCAGGCTGCAAACAAACAGGCTGTGGGCTGCATGTGGCCCACGGGCCATGTGTTGAGTAGCCCTGGTCTAGACGGTACTGGGTCCTGCCATGAGGGCAGGGGATGGGACTCGATGACCTCTCAAGGTCCCTTTTAGTTCTAGTGTTCTATGATCTTCCTTTGCACTACTTTGAATTGAGAGCGAGCTTGTGCGGAAAAAGACATTTGATGATATAATCTATCGTTTTGCTAACAAAGAGTTGCAAAGTAAATTTTTAATTGTATGTTATACTTACATGTTGTTTGTTGACTAAAGATTTAATTCACCTGCACTTAATTGATCTTCAACATTT